AAAAATGTTTAACATCCAGTGTTTCTCAAAACACATGTACATTATACAAGTTGTGGACCTGGAAAAGCTGTGTTCACAATAAACTTTGTCAAATGATTTTTGCATGTAAGCATGTGCACAAGCTTCCTCAGTCTCCCTGAAATAGTAGCTAAAGAAAAAAAAACTAGGAGCCATTTCCAATAAATGAGCTTCGAGTTTAGAGAAGAGGGCATATCTGTATGTAATATGCCCGAGTTGGTTAAACAGAGCTACCGCTGTAAAAAACCTGGCGTCCATGAAAACACCCATGCAACTGTTCTGACACAAGACATTAATTTTAAAACACAGAAATAAATAACTATTGTGTAATGTTGCCAGGATAAAACATAACTTAACTCTGAACGAAAATAGAAGTTTTTCTGATTCTCAAACGGCTGTTCAAAACTTATTCAGAACGGCTTGGAAAATAAAATTTCGAGGACTTGTTTGGACTTTTTACATTTAGGGCATGAATTTTTAGTCATTTCAGGCCATGGAGCCTAAAAATGAGCTTAGCTAGCTGTAAAAAGGGCAATACGGAGGCAATACGTCCTAGCCGGCATGATCACATGCTGTTTACGGAAAATTCCCTCATCCACGTCAGGAAATTCTGCATTTTAAAGCCTCCCCTAGGGCATGACTCAGCAACTGAGGACATTTCTGCTACGTTTTCAATGTTGGTTAGTATGCAAGGGTTTTTCCCATGCCTATCGTCAATGATTTGCTCACTGGTAACAGAGGGGGTGGCCCCAGAGTGGTTTTGCATTGAAATTTGCATGCAACAGAATTTCGCATGTCCTGTAAGCATAATTCGAGGTTCCGTGACCTTCTCACCCATACCGCGAGAAGCCTAGGTTCTAGTAATAAGTAATTCATACCCAGCATGCCCAGCGTGCCAAAATCTCCGGAATGCCAAATTCTCATGGATGCCGGGCGTGCCACAATCTGGGTCATGCCGGGCATGCCAAAATCGGTCCCTGGCATGCTCTAAATGCACAGGTTAATTCCTTGAATCTACAGATATTTTAAGCATAGCTATAAAAAAACTAAACAGATCACCATGCTTATCTTTTGATGTACGGTTTATAAGTCATTGAGACGATGACGTCATTTCTCTTCCTTTCATTTTTATATATTTGGTTGTTCAAGTGAAGTTTAAATAACAAAAGCTTTAATTTTCACAAGAAAGTAAAACTCTGAAGGATTCTGCCGTAGTAATAAAACAGCGTCATCGTGCAGATGACCTATTGGGGGATTGTAGAAACTCCTCACCCCTTTTAATGAGTCTTTAATAGGATTCCCATTTCACATTGCGAATAAAATGGAATTGACTGAAATCAGTAAAAATAGAGACAGAGACTATTTTCATTGTATAATAAAATGCATCTATGTTCCATGAAAGCTTTTAAAAATACAAGGTTATAAAAATATCTTTCAAAGTTCATAACAAACTGAGCTAAGCTCCAGAATCACTGTCCATTATTCAGTAAATTATGATGTTTGACAATGCAATGCGCTTGAATATAACGTTGCAATTACAAATCTCTCTAAGGCAATTTTCCCTACGTTAAAAAAGCTGTTTTTATCTTGTTTCACATTTGATAAGGAGTCTGAGTTTCTCTTTCTTGTTTTGTAGGCTTGCCAGGGATTATTGTTTATGTGCATGTCATTATTAGTGTCTGTGTTCTTTGTTTTTAACTCAAAGTAAGTCAGTAATAACTGACAGTATCAAAGAATTGCTCTCTAGGCAAGTAATTATCTCCTCGTCATGTCTGGAAGGTACCTGTGACAAAAAAGAAATGGAATGTTAACACATGCAAGGGCCATATGAAATAGAACATGTAGGGCAAAAGAAATAGAACATGTAGAGCTCAGCTTAGCTTCTGGTAACATACTTTCATACTGGCTTGTTGAGTCTGTTAAAGGTCGCAACTAATTGTCCGAGGCTAATTTCACAAGAGTGTGCAATTGAGATAAATGCATGTCGTAAATAAAATGAAAGAAACGTAGTTTCACATTAGCCAATTTACATTGCGTTGTTCTATGATGTTTACACGCTTTTGTGCCGGGAAATAAACCTTTGCATTTGGGTTTGCAAGTCAAGATTATCCCGAGTTTGACTAAAACTTGAGTAACTGTTTCATTTTTAAGCAGGTAAGGTGTAGACCCATAAAAAGCCAGAATATGTAAAGGAAACGTAGCGAAAAATTTTTCGCGTCTTTGTGGCGATATTCTCTCATGGCCCGTCAACTGATTAGGGGTTGTGAAGAAAAAATACGTTAGGACCAAAGGTTAAAGCCTGTCCTGTTACATCATTTCACATGTTACCTAGAGTTCTAATAAATAGGTCATAAAATAGGATTTAACGAGAGCGAATTTGTTTCTCAATCGGTGTATAAAAAAAGTGAAGCTATCAAATGAGAAGTTTACAAAGCATCAAAATTATTAAATTAAAGGCTTATATAATTAGGAAAATTCCTACACAAAAACAATACTAGTGACATTAAATTGTTTGCTTTTGTTTTTGCGTAAAGGTAAATTTTTCGGCCCACAAAGCAAACTTGAAAATGGGACTTAATCTTAGTTTTTTACATTGAACATGTTTATTAGCTTAGTTTTCGTCCGTTTTAAAAGCTTTATAATCCAATCATAATTTTCGGGTTAAAATAGTACAAAATCATTTCAAAAACCACGTTCATTTAAAGTAGAGTCGGCAAACGTGAACATTTTGTAGTTCAAAAAACGGACCTAGCCGGGTTGTTTAGCTTAGAATTTTTTCCATTTTAGCGTCCTATAAATTTACCAGAATCGCCTCTCAGAGACTGTAGTAAAGCATTTTGTAGTACACCCGTAGACAAGCAATGTAAGGCATAAGTCTTTGCTTGGATGAGACGTCCAAAAAGAAAATTAGTTTTGTGGACCTAAACGCACATTCACATACTGCTTAGATTGAGTTGTTTACAACTTTGCATTGACACCTCCAGCATGTTCATTTTATTAAAAGCGAAATCCAAATCTGATTATGCCATTTGATTTACGGATATTTTATTTTGTCTCCAAAAGTGATTGTAATATCCGTTTGATTGTCTTTCAAACAACAGTCAAACTATGCAGCAAAAATAAGTAGCCTTACCAGTACAAAAAATATGACGGTAGGTACCAAAAATAATTATGCTCAAGCTATAAAATTAGATCTCACTTTTTTAGCTTTGGTTTCTATACTTTTTGAGGTTTTCTGTCCTCTTCTTAACAGCAGAAGAAGATTAGAAGTACAAACAGAAACAATCCGAAGTGAACGAGATGACGACCACTTATGCCTGAGAGCTCTAGGCATGCTCAACAGCAAGATAAAATGAATGCCAAAAGGATAATTCACGGGATTTGTTCGATATTCAGGCTTTTTGTTTACCAAATCAATACTAAATTTGTATTTACAGTCTCTCGCAGAATCCATTCCTTGTCCAGCATTCGCCAACATCCCAACCATGCACCGCAGGAGAAAAAGACAAACAAGTGCGAAGAGACATAACCACATCTTGACGCCACAACTGCCACGCTACAACAAACTAGATTCATCGTCATCCGAAAACACTTCCGCGGAAATTCGGCCGATTTCATGCGTGTTCGGGGTATCTTCGGATGAAGCAGATGACGTTGCGGAAAGGACTATCGTCAGCAAGGAGTAAAACAGTTTAAGAGATTCGCATAGCCGGCAAGAAGCGCACTGAAAACCTAAGCAAAATCAATCTGAGAAGGGAGTCCAAATTCACCAAATCAGAACGTCTTTGCAGTATTAACGTCGTACTCTCGTACTGACTTGACCGACCTGGTAAGCTTAATTTTCGCCAGTCTTTTAATGCTGTTGACCGAGAAACATTCCGAGGCGATACAACTTAAGCATGGATAAGTTTATACTGAGAAGATTTATCTTATTGTTTAAAACGCTTTTCCGCTATCAAATTTAAATTTGGACTCAGAAATGTCATCGGTTTGAAATAAAAGGGCTAATTGATCTTTGATTGCAAGTGAAGTATTCTATTTTATGCATGAATAATGTTGTTTTGTTGTGATTTTTATTTATAAATCCAGCTTGTTCAAAACTTCTGTCTTCAGTTTTGCCAGTCGATCCCGTGACATACATTCATGATAAACATAACTTGTCATAATCTGCATGTATTGCCAGGTTTGAAACCTGTAACTTCAAGCTCTCTGAGATATATTTGGCGATTATGTGATTCTCAGGATATGATGCTGGAGCGAACATCAAAATCAGTCACGCTGGGCATGCCAATTTCATGCCCGGCATGCCGGGCATGCCAAACCCAACTGGCTTCGCGGTCGGCATGCCCGGCATGCCAAACCAGACGAGCAAAAACCGGGAATGAATCATCAGCCCGGCGGGAGATCTGGGAACACTCTAGTTCCTGCTCTCTTTTTCCCATCCTCTGCTTTACCACTGAATGGTCATTTTTAATAGGGTGGTTTTGTCGCGTTGGTTTTACCCAGTTTCTCTTTGGTATGGTCCTGATGTTATCCCTGCGCGGTCAAGGTTGGTAATTTTGTTAAGGCAACCCTGTTCGGGGATATTAGCCGACCACTTCAACACTCGTGTTTGGTTACTCAAAGAAATGCGACAAAGATAGAAAGCTACGAGGGAGGCCTCGGCTAATCAGTCCACGGGATGAATGAATTATGGTACGAAATATTGCAAGGCTCCGCAAAGCGGAAGGAAATTTTTCATGTCACCAATTACGAGCCGAATCGGGATTACATCATGTTTCTTTGTGCACCATGAATCGAACTTTAAAGCGGCTGGGTTTTGGGTTCATGGAAGCAAGAAAGAAAGGAATACTAACTGAAAAGGATTACGCAGAGAGACGTCAATTTGCGCGAACTGTTCAAAGGAGTTATTCTAAAGACTTTTTTAAAACTGACATTTGTTTTACCTCGATGGGGTGAGTTTTTATCATAAAAGCAATCCTATGAATGATGCAAGAGCTCCTCACGGGGGGGACTGGGACTGGGCGTCAAATGGAGTAGTCGTGTTTTTTTTGTCGCTCCGACGCTGCCTTGCCGTTTCACTATGTCAGTTTCAGGAAATTAGCCAAATCAGCCTCAAACTATTTAGAGAATCTTTGCTTTTCCTTTCCGTTATGCCCAACGAAAAGCGAGCGAGACAAGAGAATTGCTTAAGCAGTGAAGATGAAAGAACGCCACCACATAAACATGAGGCCGGCGCCGCCATCTTGGAAAGCATACACGAAAAGCTAAAGAAGCTAGACGTGCTTGAACAAATAAACGGAAGACTGCTGAAGATTGAAAATACCGTAGGTGACATGGAAAGAGGACTTAACTCTATGACAGCAGAACTGCAGAAGGTAAAAACGGATTTAGACTCAAAAGCAGATAACGCCACTGTCGATGCGCTGAAGGATGAAATCGAAGAATTACAAAACAGGTCAAGAAGGAACAACTTAGTCTTCTACAATATACCAGAGAAAGCCGAAAAAGGAGATTGCATCTCTTTTGTACAGGATTTTATTACGCAGCATATGGGCCTTGAAACGATATGTGGCCATGTTGAGCTGGAAAGGGCACACCGCACGCCAAGCAAAACGCCTTCTGCTGGTGAAAAGGGTCCCAGACCAATGCACGTCGCTTTTCTTCGATACACGGATAAGATGAAGGTACTAAGGAATGCCGCCGCTCGTCTAAAGGATAACCCGTTAAACGGAAATGCCATCGGTATAAGTGAGGATTTCGCCAAAAAAACCCAGCGGCGGAGGCAAGAGCTCGTGCCCTACAGAAAGTTTCTAAAGAAGAAACTCGGAGACGACCGGAAAGTCTACATCGCATATCCTGCAATACTCAAATATGTCGATGCCAATGGCCGTCACAGAATCGTAGGAACAGAAGAACTAGCAAAACTACGCCATGAAATGGAAGAGGCAAAGAGTTAACCTAGCAACGCCGTCGGAGTGATACTGACCAACAACAACTTTAATCTCACATTCTACCCATTGTTGGAGTTAAAAGAACTTCACAGGCAATGCCTTTAATTTGTTTCATAAAAGGTAATTTTCGTTTTTATGTTGTAAGTGATGCAATGTATTAATCGTTGGAATCTTAATTCTTAATTGTAATTTTTTGTAACCTTAAATTTTGTAGTGAAAGTGTTGTAAGTGATGTAGTGGTAATAAAGATCTAAAATTAAAAAAAAAAAAAAAGAGCTCCTCACGGGAAGGTTTGGCGTAAGCGAAATGAAGGACTCACATATACTGCGGAGGGTTCTCATGTCGGCTCAGGGGGGAGAGTTGTAAAAATGATTGTAGCTATATCATACGGAAAGGGTGTTATTTATTGCGAACAGTATGATAAGCTGGATGGCAATTTTGTGGAGGATTTTGTGCGAAGAAATTTCCCTAAAATGTTAAGAAAGAGCGGAAAACGTGGCTCGAAGCTGTTTGTGCAAGATAATTGTCCTATTTTGAACTGTGCAAAGGCGAGAAAATCTTTGAAAGATGTCGGTGGCAAGTTATTTCCTATTCCTAAGCGGAACGGCGATTTAAATCCTATCGAGAATGTCTTTAATGTAGTAAAGCGTGAGTTGAGAAGGCAAGCCATAAGACATAATATTACGTCAGTGACATTTGAAGAGTTTGCACAACGAGTAGAAAGTACATTGTACTCGGTACGACGAGAAGTTGTTGACAACATTGTCACCTCAATGTACGAGCGATTAGATTTAATTTTAGAGAACAGAGGTAGTCGTACCAAATACTGAAGAAAACGATATTTGTTTTTGGGTCAGGGTATAGCATGGAGGGCATATCGATTCAGAGTAACAGAGTTTAATATTTCCTTTATTTTGTAACGCAAAAAATGTCACGCTATTTTGGTTTAGCGTCACATGTTGGGAATCACTGCGTGACGTTTCAAAGACAACCACAACACACAACAAAACCTTTGCTCGATTGTTATTTCTAGTCAATCCTATTTCATAAGAAATGCTTTCAAATAAAATTCACTCTGGAATTAGACACTTATCTTTGTCCTATTTCATTTTCTGACGGTCTACCATCACAACAGTAAGAAATATGATATCATATGTATTTTTAAAGTCACTTGTTATGGTAGACCGTGTAGACCGTGTAGATCGTCAGTGCTTAGTTCGCTATTTCTTGTCACTTCTCTCCTAACGCAAGGTAGCAAAGCAATTACAGCAGTTTCCCAATTCCTTTTGAACATCTTTTTGTATCTGTACATTTAAGTGAAAGATCTTCCACCTTACAGACATCATCTCCGTTTCTCGCTCATCGATCACGCCGTTTTTAATATAAACGAAAGGCTGTTTTCCTGTACAGAAAATAGGAGTATCTTTCTCCAAAGCAATGTCCTTAGCATAATGCGTTTTGGGTGCCGGGAGATGCACCATCTGTCCTTCAAGCAAAATAAGAAAATCATGCCACTGTATTATTTGAGATGACCAGCGAAAATCATTTAAGAAAATGCATTCTGCCTCTTCCGCTCCAACCCACGCAAATCGGACGTGCAAGCGGGATTGCAAAAAGTTCTGTACACACTTGTGAGTGGGTTTAGTAGAAATGTGTTGCCCGTGTTTGCTGGGCCGCAGATCATAACATTTCGAAATTTGCTACGGCCTTTTTCCAGGAGTTCTTTTATTGCCTTTGTAAAAGTTTCCTTTCGAATACCGTTTTGTTGTAACACCTCACATGCACAAGCGAGCCACTGTCCATGACAACCGTCAATACATTCGGGGGTACTTTAGGAATTTCTGGGTGGGGATGTGCCGCTGGGACCCTGGAACCCTTAACCTATACCAGAGCTAGTTCAGCTGAATTTTGCTACCGTATTCTAGAGTGAACTCCCAAATCCCCCCTATCCTAGAGTAGCTGTTTCCCTAGTCTAGATAAAATCTTCAACCAACTGATCAGCTTCCTGAAAAATAATACCCTATTCTAGACCCAAACGCTCTGATTTATATACCCTATCCTAGAGTAAACTGCTTGAAAACCATACCCTTCACAGCGGCACATACCTATGTAGCCCATATATGGCAGTACCCCCCTTCTACTTCTTGTAAGATTTGAACACGAGTTTTCTGTGATCTTTGCAGCTTCTGTTGCGCGTTCCGCAATTTCCCACGCTGTGGTTAAAACCTCTGAGACTACGCGGGGCCCTCTGTTGACGATAAACTCTGCAATGTCGTTATTCCCCTGGCACTTTTGGTTGTTCGCATAAGCCAACAGTTGCGTGCGAGTTTTTATTTCCTTTGTTACAATTATTTCTGACAGTTCAAATGAAGACAACCGCTTTTTCCTTTTTTTACCTTTCGAATCAGTTTCATGGTATGTCTCGCTCGCGTCATCAGAAGGACTTTCATAGAACTCCTCCGAGAATTCCTCTTCATCGTCGTCACTATCTTCAATGTACTTTTTCCGGCAAAGTGAGGCCGTTTCAGTCTTAGGGCCTTTACAATCGGACAAGTCGGGATGACCGTCACTTTCCACAACAAATTTTTTTTTTCGTGGTGTATTTCCACGCACTATAATAGTTATGATGTACGTCGGAGAAGTGCACGGAGATACCGTAGTTTTCTTCTAGGTACCGTTTACAAGACAACCACCTTTTACAGCGCTGTAACTTCACTGCCATATGATAGTGGTATCCCCCCGTGGATTCGTGCACTTCCTTACAACAAACCCAGTGTTCAACGTTTGTGTTACTACTGTCAAAAGAGCGGAGAACAGCTTGCGCGAAGGAATTTCTGTCAGGGAACTTGTGTAAATCCGCCTGACTATAGGTGATTAAATACACTTGTCGGACAGCTCTCACATTTACAACACTCGTTGAAGCACCCTTGTCGCTAGCTTTAACGTCAATGTTTGTGCTGTTATAAACATCTGTCGCTTCCGAATCACTACTTTCATATTCCTGGAGAAAATCCATTGCAAACCACTTAAGCAGTAAAGAAATAACCCCGTAACCCGCGAGCCGCGCGAACATCGATGTTGTAGTCTATGCAGCGTAACTTTCAAATCACCTTAGTCTGATTACGCCAAATGTTGTGAAATATGACTAACTTGAAATAATTCCTACAAATTAGGGAATATTCGAGACTACCTTCGATAACGTTTGATTTCCAATATTGATTACCGATCATCAATCTCTCTCCATCGATTGGCAGGTGATCACAACGCACCCTTCCTTTATGTACCTTTCTCACACGTGAGTAGTGCCTTATCTTGTTCATCTAAGGACTCTGTTTGCTCAACCAACGCGCGCAAATAAACTTGTTTCACCTTTTTTTCCAGTAAGTACGTTTAAATGGCATCGTTACAGACAAATGAAATGAAAAAAAACTCATGCCGCTTGTTTATTTGTGAATGCGGGCATGTTTTGTACCTTGGTACCCGAAAGAAACGTCAGTCGCGCCGATTACGTCATCCTTAAAACACTTGAAAATTGCCTTTTTTCGTTTGCCATTTTCACATCGCACAAGCCAATATCATGAAACCCTATTTTTTGGGAACTCCTCCTAAATAGAGATCACTACATAAACTACTAAGCCGATCGATAAAAGAACCGGGTCCCTACACATGGTCACAGTACTCAGACGACCACTTGCAAAAATGTTGAGACACTTGACCCGCAAAACACTCTTTCTTACTAAACATCGCATAAAATCCCACATTTCTAAGCTTAAGCAACTCCCCTCACCCTCCCCTACTTTCAATGTTGTTCTTCGAAAATTTCAGCATGATCTCCTATTGTGACCAACTTTCAGAAGGGAGAGGGGGGGTCTAAAACGCGAGGACCTTGTAGGTACCCTTGACGTTCAAATTAGGTACAATGTCTCAAGTCTTTTTGCAACAGGTTGTAACTCGTCACGTTCCTTTAAAGGGACAACCACATCATCCATGAAATCAATGTTAAACTGTTATTTCAGGCTTACGCTTCG